TGCGACGTGCCCCAGGACTGGCTGGAGTCCAGGGCAACAACATTAGGGGGGCTAACAGCATGGGGGGGACCCCGTGACTCCAGGGCACCAGCCTGGTCCTGCCCCGAAGAGCCACCAGTCTCAGCAGCCGTGCACTGGGGCTGAATTGGGGCGGTACCAGCTGGTCCCTGACTTCAGGCGAGAGGGAGGCACTGACAGAACACAGGGACGAGTCCGTGGCACAACCGGGAATCAAACCGGCCTCTCCCACGGCACAGCCGAGCCCCCATTGCACGGGCTGCGGCCACGGAGCAGAGAGGTCTCTTCCCAGCTTGGGGGTGTGGGCTCTAGTGGTTAGTGCCGAGGATGTAAACGCCCAGATGGCTGGGTTCCATTCCTGGCTTTGCTACTTACTGCCTGACTGCCCCTCCCCCCCGTGCCTCAGTTTCCCCGTCAGGGGAGAATAAAGCACTGAGCGCTTAGAGACCCTCCTGCTCAGTGGCAGTGAGCGGCTGTTGGCACCCGGGTTCCCCCCGCTCTGGGGCTCGAATTGTCCCCGTCGGCAGCACGTTCCCAGTGTTCCCCACCCGCCAGAGCCCTTGGCTCGCTCCATTAATCCTATGATTTATTCATGTTAATACAGATCTCGGAATTGTCCCCGTCGGCAGCTCCTTCCCAGTGTTCCCCACCCGCCAGAGCCCTTGGCTCGCTCCATTAATCCTATGATTTATTCATGTTAATACAGATCTCGGCGTACACCTGGGAGCCGCCAGGCTGCGCTAAGTGCTCCCAGGTCTCTGCAGGGCAGGGAGAGGACAGGACGTGCCGCTCCCATTAACGCTAATGGGGCTGAGACAGAGCAAGGCCTCCCAGGGACGCCAGCCCCTTGCAGCCCGGACGGCGTCTGAGACAGCTGAATCCTATGATTTATTCATGTTAATACAGATCTCGGCGTACACCTGGGAGCCGCCAGGCTGCGCTAAGTGCTCCCAGGTCTCTGCAGGGCAGGGAGAGGACAGGACGTGCCGCTCCCATTAACGCTAATGGGGCTGAGACAGAGCAAGGCCTCCCAGGGACGCCAGCCCCTTGCAGCCCGGACGGCGTCTGAGACAGCTGAGGCCCCTCACTCCCGACCTGCCCCCCCCCGCCCCCGCCCGGCCCCCCCAC